CACTCAGCGTGAACGTATATTTTTCATCGGAAATCGTTATAGATGTCGTGAAAAAAACCTTAATTAACGCCGGAATTCAACCGCATTGGACTTAAATAATACTTATAATAGAAATACAGCAATACGATGTTTTAATAAATTATTATTTTATAGGGGTCCAAGGAACGGTCAATTTAGGTCAGGGCGTTACAAGCCCCATGCAGCGAGCCAGACATTGCAATGCACTTGTACGATCATTAAATTCTATAAAGCAACTGATTGATGTCACCAACGTTTTATGTCAATGTGATATAATGTTGTGAAAAAATTCAAATTTTTGTGGTTTTTTACTATACTATATTATGCATGTATTTTCATTAATTCTGAACTCTCTATCTAGATAGCTCTATTGGCACTAAGTTGGTTACCTTTTTCATACACAGACTTACCAATATATTCACACATGTTCTTAATTTTACTGATAATTATAGTGTCGGGAATATGCCGGCGCCCTTACTTTCAGACAGTCGAAAAGAAAAGAAACTCCGCTATAATTACAAATTTTAGCTAGTCATGCATTTTAGGTATGAAACCACTCGTCTATTTGTTATATATCAGGGAAATCCTTCATATATAGGCACACAAAGTTGAAACATAAGTTAAACAGAAGTCAGCCCATGCATTAACTTTCGGTTTCTTCCGGATGAAGGATAAAATACTTCTTAGAGTGAGATGCACCAATATATTATAAAAAAAAGTTTTTCACTAGTCTTTCGTTTAGGCAGCATCAAGTCCATATCACGAATTATGTGAAACAAAGAGAGATTGTTTAACATTTTGTACATTGGAGAAGGATCGAGCAATATTGCCTTTCCTATTTGTATGTGTTAGGTTGCGCTTTTGTTCCAGTCTGCTGTGGTTAATAGGATTACGACGTTTTGTGAGTCAGATAATAAATTTAAGAACAGCCAACCTTTCGGCTATTTACTTCGTTCTATTTTCGGATAATAGTTTCTAAAAAGGCCCAGCATGACAGCGGTCCGATTAGGTCGGACGATTGCCGTGTACACTTTATTTCCTGTCTTCCATGCACATATGTGGCAAATTGACACGCCTGTTCATCAGAGGGGCCAGGGACGTGTATCGTATATGAACGTCCCAGGCGACCTTGCGGTTTCCTTTATATTAGTGGTTAATAAAAGGCATCTATATACAAATAGTTCACAATCACAGATATTTCTTGAAGCGATCGACCAGAAGCGATTGGGACCAAAACATGTATGTACTTATAGATGTTATGCATGTGAAGCACTCGATATGATATCACTACTTGTAAAGGAATGCATATCCGGGGTGTATATTAATGTTCAGTTAAACTCATTAAATCTTTGGGCCTGGCATATTGTTTGGGTCAAGAGGTCAGGATTCAATTGGTGACGTAACCTACATACTGGGAAAAGTTTGGACGGCGCGCGTATATAAATATCGCGATGTTGCATGGTCGAACTGTATCCACAAGTTTGCATCGACATAGATACATCTACAAGAACAAGCAAGGGAATAATTCACAAGCAAGGCTGTATAAAGAATATTAAAAATGAACAAGGTACTGTGGGTCATGAATTATACTATTAACTCGATAAGCAGTGCGCATGCTGGCAATTGGGAAATATACCGGCACTGACACATGGATTTGAAGCTACAATATTTCTCTGCCAAACTCATTTAATCGATTGCCTTTTCGCATAACTTTTTTCATTGTGAACATAGGAAGATAAAGAAGCTATATAATTGAAGTTTTCTACTGCTTGCAAATAAGTTGTTAACTTCCTACTAGAAATTCGAAACACGGCGTTATTAACTGATTTTGGGCAGGTCATTCATTAAAATAACCTATACAACTCTGGAAACAAATCTTTCAAATTGACCTATATAGCCGCGTCAATTGTTTTACCTATCTTAATGCAAGTAGAAGTTAAACATTCGGGTCATTGACATTCGACCTTCGAGATGATAAATTAAATATTCTTATACTTTTCTTATCTTTTCTCCAAACACAGGGTATCACATCAAAACTTGTCGTATTTCTGGTGGTATTTCTGGAAATTGTTGCGGAGATTCAAAGCGCACCAGTTTCGAATAACAGAGGTTTGTACGAGGGAAAATTATATTGATTATTTAGCGTTTGATTTCGACAATCATCCTAATTATGATGAAAAAGACAAAGTTTACCCAGTATGGGTCTCAACGGTGAAACAGCTAGTGTATTAAGATATTCCGGGGCGGAATAGTATAAATTAACTTGCTGTGACAAGAGAACACATCCGTTGTTCATCTTAAGGGATTTTCCCCGCAGTCTAGCTACGTTATGATTGGCCAATCTGGATGGAGTCATTATCGCGTTTAGTCCCAAAGACTTTAGCTAAATGCTATGTTAATTAATATTTAAAAAAACTAATCGGTTTAGAGAAAATACACTTTTTACAAACGTAAACAAATATCTCGAGAATTGTAGGACAAATGAAATAAAACGATATTTCAAGCGGAGTTAAAGTTAGGCAGAATTCTACAACTTACTTTTTACCTCGAAAAAATTTCAAGCCACTTGCATTCCGTTCATTAACATACAGAATCTTTTTCTAAAATTGCTTATTTATTCATCGGTCACTTTAACGCTTGACCAATCAGTAGACACAACTTTAATCCAACTTTAATTATTTTGTATAGCTGCAAAGATCACGTGTCCTCGTCCTACTGGATTCTGCCGAGGAGATCCCGAGGAACCATGCAAGAACGATGCCGAATGCAGTCATTTAAACATGGGATCGAGGGTACATTTATGTTGTCCTCATGTGTGTAAAGGAAAAAAAATTTGCATTGATTTTAACGGTAAGTGAAATGTTAGGAATATCGTTATACACGAGGAATCTACCCAAAATTTGTCGGCCGAGTAGAATGTCCGTCTGGTTGCAAGATGATAGTTTACCAGAGATTCAGCGAAACATAAGATGATTTTGAAGTCGACTAGGTCACTAGGTCTTGAAACTAAACGAAACTATATGAAACTAAATAAGCGCATGCTATTGTCGGGATAATTACATATAATTGAAAGGATTATGTTATTATTGTTATATACTTCAATAGTCAATACCTGAAAATTATCCAAACTTGAAACAGCCCCACGTCAGTATAGGCTTGTAAATTAGTACATTATTATTGATGTGCCTTTGGCCTTCAATATATATGCTTGTCTTTTACAGTACCGCAACCAACTACCGCTAACCCCCCTACCACTGTACCAAGCACGAAGGCGCCTACGACGGTTGTTTCCACAGCAACTAGTACTGAAAAGCCTTCTTCCACACAAGAACCAAGTCCTACAGCTCCAAGAACGACAGCAAGAATTACAACGGAGCAAACATCCACCAGTGGCAGCGGGTTACCTACGGAGGAAGTGGAAATCACAACTTCAAAACCTACCACCGCTGAACGTCTGACCACAACTCAGATGCCAAGTACCACCGAAGCAACGACTTCTTTGGGATCAACGACGAGTTCAAAACCGATGACAGTTGTAACAACAACTTTGAAACACACTACAACTGAACGTCCTACCACAACCCAGATCCCAACGTCGACCGAATCGACAACAACTGAGAAATCGACCACGAATTTGCCATCAACCACAGCACCGACAACGCGAGCTGTAACAATTGCACCGACAACGGAGTTTGTTCCGGGTCCGTCTGCATGCGGTCACAGCAAAGCAAAGGATATTCTCTTCATCATTGACAGTGCATATAGTTACCAACAACATAGAGCGACCAGGCGAAAGGAATGGAAACAAGTGAAACATTTTGTCAAGGAAATGATTTCGGAGTTGGAAGGGGACAGGTTCAGAATTGGTGTGATGCAATATGGTGGATATGGCAAACCCTGGATGGAAGTTGAACTTTCGGATGGAGTTGATACAAGTAGTTTGAAACGTCAGATTGATGATATGAAACAAGTTGGTGGGACGAAAAAAAGGGCCGGAGAAGCATTAGCTTTTGCCGGTAATAAGGTGGGTGACTTTCGTACAAAAATACTACCAATATATATGTTTGAACCTTGAAGGCTTGAAAATATCATCTCACATGCTGTCTTTCGAGTTTTTTTGGATGAACTTTGTTGAAATATGTTGAAACATCCTAACTTTTAACAAATATTTCAGTTCTATGAATTCAACACGATCTACGACCGCGAAGATGCACAGGACGTTGTCGTTCTTATCACGCGTGACAGGCCGACGGATAGGGCGCAAGCGGTGGCAGAGGCTGACATGCTGAAAAGAAAGGGGGTTCAAGTCGTTGCTGTAGGAGTGAGCCTATATCCCTGGTATTTGGCGCAATCCGTTGGAAAAATGTCATCGTTCAAGCATGATGCTATCACGTGCAAGTACAGCGAACTAGCCGACAAGAAAATGGACCTGCTCGAGAAGATTTGTACGTCAGTCAATTTACCTGGAGGTCAGTCAAGAACCGATAATCGATAATAATATTTTGATGATGAGCACAATTTTACTTGACTTAGTACGTCATTACAGTGGATGTAATACAGTTTTCTGAAGGGCCCTTTACTTAAATAGGCGAATTCTAGATCTATGATTGACAGCTTTGCAATAACTCTTTGGTTTCGAATGATTCTAGTGATTCATGATTCTAGATCACAGCGAACCAATAATTTGCGAGATTCGCAGACACTTTGTCGTTTTTCAAATGACAGCAGCTAAAAATGTTAACAAAACGTTCGTTTACATTACGACTGGACACCAGCTTCAAAGCATTTTCTCTTCAGTGTGCTAACATTTAGTTTTCTCTCATCTAGTCGTATCACTTTGTCGAAACAAAAAAGTCGACGTTCAATTCCTCCTGGACGGATCTCGAAGCATCAACCAAGAAGAGTTTGACAAGAAGCGGAAGTTCCTGAAAGACGTGTTCTTTTTAATAGAGTCGCCACCGTCAGATCTGCATACGGGGTTGATGCAGTTCAGTACGGTCGAGAAAACAGAACATTTATTCCAACTTCAAAAACACACCTTGCCTGAAGAACTGAACGCAATTATTAATATGCAATATCACTCTGGAAGAAATACAATGTTGGGAGACGCTTTGAGCCAGATAAATAACGAGGTACGCATGCAGTGATTTTCTTTCAAATTTTCCCTTTTTTAAAATTAAACAACTGAAAGTATCGGACCATGCTAGAAAATTTTCACGTCCCTTTTTCCTATCACATACGTTAAGTTTATTAACAAAAAGAGGAACGTTCTTACCGATATTCCCCCAAAAATCATTTAGGGGAAAAATGTTATTAACAAATAGAAGACAAGTTTTCTATGACAAAGTAAATCTTTCTTGAACAGCCTCCAGGGTTATTCCGTTCACCATTTACCCCCCGCCCCCGCGTTTTTCCCCAAGTTCCCCAACCCTCTTCTCCCTCCCTTCCCATCTTTCTTTCAGTTCTCTCTAACCACCTCTTTCCTCCCTCCGCGTCTTTCCCAAGTTCCCTCTAACCCCCTTCTTCTTTCCTCCTTACTACATATTGTTCTCCAATCTCCATAAATCGCTACTCACCGCGTTACTAATTGATGTTTCACTCACAGGTGTTCAACGGACAAGCTGGTGATCGTTCCACCGTGGAAAATGTTCTCGTCATCTTCAGTGACGGTCGAGCACACGATATCTCGCGGGCATACCGAGAGGCAGGCTACATGAAAGAAAAAGATGTGCGAATCATAGCCACGGCTGTGAGCGACTCTGGCTATATCCCCGAGGAGCTGAGAAGGCTTGCGACGCATCGTAAAGACGTATTGGCCATTGATCTGAGCAACTCTGCGCACTATGCCAAGGAACTCGCGTCGATGATTTGCAAGGCTAACGCGTGAGGGACATACGGAACCGGACAACCAGTAATAATCATGCCGAGCGACAACTGGCTGCGGTTAAAGGATCTGATTCAAATGCATAAAGCACACTGCAGTGCAGGCTAGGCCATGTTTATCTGGAATCAAGTTGCTCGGTTACTCAATTTTCTATCAAGGTTTGGGGAAAGCGAATGAACTCTATTTAGACCAGAATTATATATAATTGGAGACCGCAATTCATGCCAATTTTAAAGGTGGATAGAGAACTAGTGCTAGTACGGGTCTCTTAATTCAGCTGCGAACTCCCTTCAAAAATAGCTACTTTACGATGTATTTAAAAAAAAACGCAAAGTATGTAATCATTACTTGAAGGATGTGTAAAATTAGATAAAAAATATTTAAGCCCGAAGAGGGAAATCACAATGTCGTATTATGTATTAGAAAAATGTATGGAATACAATAAAAATTGCCTAAATTATTATATTTGCAATATGCATGTGTTCCGTTATAAATCGGTAGAGAACTTCGATTGGATTGATGTAACGTAGAATGAATTCCAACATGAAAAGTACAATCAAATTTGAGGGTACTGAAATTCCCTTCGAATTATCCTATTTGAGTAATAGGCACCCCCTAGGGACTACAAAATAACCATGTAAACAAATACAAAAATTACCATGTACAGGAAAAAAAAATGGAAAAAATATTTAATTGCAAAACATTGATAATTTTCTTAATTTTCGTGAAATTGATAATTCAATTATCAGTCTTTTGAGTTCCTGCCCTCTATTATACAAAAATCACAATTCAGAACCAAACTTAACCTGGTTATAATCTTTTGGAGATGGTCCTAAAATATTCCAGATATTTTATTTCAGGACGCACCATGCGTTCGCAGGTTAACTTTAAAGCAGTTGAGATGTTCGGCTTGAGAGAATAGCCATATATCACAGCTGCGGAACTATTGTACGGTCTGTCAATGAAAATACCTGTTCGCAGGCATTCCGCACTCAGTTCCCTGTTCCTTTTACGGAGCATCGCGACTTCGTTCCAAAAGCTCTCTCCTTCCCTTTTTATCTCATCCCACAGCGAGGCATTGAAATATTCGTAAAGCATCACGTCTTCTTTGATCCAATGGAGGATTTTTCCCCGAACACGCGCACTCGTGGGCTCGTTCTTCCCCAATTGCTGGTTGAGTTTAAAGTAGACAACATCGTCTAAAGTCCAACACAGCTTTCTTCTAAGAAGTATCAATGATTCGTCGAAGTGCTCCATTATGAGAATCAAGTTAAATTTTCTCGATATGACTTCTAGCTGCTCGCGAGTCATGGCTTCATTTGACTGGTCGAATCCAAAATCGAACAGTTGGGGATTACGCAACAGCTGCAGGCTTGGGTTATCGATGAGTATCTGTGGATACCGTCGATTTAGAGAACTGAGTATCTCGAAGGCATTATCGAGAAAATACTCCAAGGAAATGGATTTTCGATTTCCATTTGCAGCGAGCAACCCGCCCAAATCCATAAACTGAAACAGGGAGGCAAACTGCGTAGCAGGATGCCTCAAGATTGAAATATATTTTGTTGTATCTGGCAACAGTTCCGCAAGCGATTTGGCATCAAAGCGCGCGTGATTTGAGAGTATATTCGGTCGAGGAACCCGGTTCTGTACAAAGTCAGTTTGGAATGGCAGAGGCCACAGGAAGTGATAAAATCCGTCCATGGGCAGCGCAACGGTTAAGTTGTGCCGATCGGCAAACCTATTGAGAATGTTCGTGATTGTGCTGCTTCCAGTTTTGTGCGTCTTCAGAAACATTATGTTTTTTTGAGCTGAACTGCACGTTTCTCTCGCTTTGATCTTTTTCGTTCTGTTCAATTCAAACATAAGCGGAATTAGCGGTAAATCGATTAGAATGCTTTATCGCCCACAGTAGCATAGCGAGTGTGAAGCTTTTGTCCCGCTATACAAATTTCAGGGTTGTCATAACTATCGAATGGTTTCTTCAGAAATTGAAAAATTTTACAGTCAATGAACCCCAAAATATTAGCATAGCGGAAAAAATGTCAGGCTGGCCACGCTACTGCATGATTCAACCAAAGAATGCTACATTCATGCATATTAAGAATGATAGAAATTATTGAGTCAACTTCCCGGCTAATTTCCAGCCATGAAAATCTACCCTGTTCAATATCCATATATTGTGTTGTATCATTTTTTTAGGGTCTGAAACCGATCTCTTTTTAATTAGTATATAAACATGCAGTAATATCACAATATGATAGTAAGGAGCACTGGGCAACATTTCGGTAATAATATACTTACATTGATCTTGTAGTAATCAGTGCATTATCCATAAACGTGGTTTCAGGTAGAAACCAGACACGGCAAAATTTTATACTTATAAATACAATACTAATTACTATGAGACACCACGCTCGTTTGAGTAAAAGACGTAGACATCTGAGGCATATGCTCATAACGGTAGAGAAAATAAATTGAAAAAAAGTTATCCAGCGCACGTGTCATAGTTACATTATTATAATAATATTATTTTAATATCCCAGACAATTGACAATATACTACATGTCATTGCAACAGGTATCTGTATGGTGTACCTGCGAGGTGATTTCACTGCATAAAATCCAATTTCCTATGTTTAGAAACAATTAAACTAATTAAAGCAACACAATGAGGCTATCAACGTTTCAACGTTAAAAGTTGGCAATTCTGTACTAATTTCAAAAAGCCGGCAAAGGATTTTCAGGCTATTCACTAGATTAGATAACCTCGTATCGTCAAAATAAATGGAGGGAGGGTAATTTATCATTGATTTTTATTTCGAATCATTGAATGAGTCGCTCTGAGGCTACGTACGTTGAGCTAAAGGTTTCGTTAAACAACTTTTTCAGAAAGGAAAATAATGGTTTTTGGTTGGCGAAGACGGCCTAGTGGCTAGTACAGTAATTCCCCCCACTTCTCAGAATACCTTTCTCCCCCCCTTTCACTTATCAAAACAATATGGCGGCTGTCTCGGAAGTAAAATTTCAGGCTGATGCCTTCATGGTTTGCTTAACTCATGCTTTTTCTACCGACAGAGAGGAAATAATGGGACTATTGATTGGCGAAGTAGGTTTATATTCAATATGAAACATTCTCCCTGATTAAATAAGATGTTTTATTTATAAAGATCTTGGGGTCCCTTTCCATACTGAGCATACATGTTCGTTCTTTCCTTTTGCCGACTGTCCAAGTTATTGTTGATCATACACGTTTGTTTGAATTGAAAAAATTAACTTGAGAAGCTTCTGACTCTCCCAATATGTTGCATATCGAAGTAACGATGATTTAATACTTTGGAGATAATAATAATATCAGAACTAATGGACTTTATATAGCCTTTAGGTAATGGGTTAATTAGGGCTACTGTGCTGACTATTTTTTATCAACAAGAGACAAATACGTGGAATAATCTTTCATGATATCAACACATTAACATGATTAACATCAATACTAAAATAAGTCTGTTGGTTTGATTATTAAGCCTCCAGGGTTGACATATTTGGGGTTATATATATAGCTGTTTCATATAGGCCCTAATATATATTGAGGTTTTTTTGGTTAGTTTAAATTTAAAGAAATTCCTAGAGCTTTGGCCGCTAAATGAAAAAGATCTAAAGTGTATTCTTTTACCCTGAGGAGCTCAAACACTGAAACCACTATAGTTGCATTATATGGAATTTCCTGAGTGTACAGTATTAAGGATTAGCTTTGTTTGGTTGGCCAACGTGATTTCTCACAATAAACATGACATTATCACAAACACAGCCTCCTATGAGCCAACTACATGATTACTTGTTGATTGAGAAGAAAATTGTTACATTTACATATTCATTGGCTGAACTTTAACTTTGCTGTGATTCCTTGGAGAATCAGATGACAACAAAAATGCAAGGGAAATATATAAACAAATAGCAAATATTGCTTCATTGTTATATTTATTATTATTATACTTATTGTTTCAGCCCCAAGATGAAAATATTACATTTGCAGCATTGTCACTTTAGTTCAGGTAGCTCAAACCAGGGTGAAATTTCAATGTTTGAATTAACCACAGAGGCTGATAAATGAATCTGATATTTAGCCTTGTGAAAAGGGCTCAATCTGAGGCCAATTACATAAACCACGTAGATGGGATAATTTTTTCTGATTTTTTCAAAGTCAACTGAATCTAAGGATGTGTATTGAATCCATGAGTCACAAGTTGAAATTAATTGCCATTGATGACCTTGCTTTATATTAGCCTTGCAAAAAAAATTGGCAACAAGATTTTACCCTTTAACAGTCCCCTATAGCACCATTTTTAAATATGGTGACCTGTAAAACCTGTAAATTAAGTCCAAAGCATTCCTGCTGCAAACTTTTTACAACCGGGACTGTGCTTGGTACTGGGTGAATATTTATATATTCAGTTCTGCCAGATGTATTTCTATTGTAAGCTATTGCACTTAAAAAAAAAATCCATCAGGCAGAACTGGACATATAAATATTCACCCACCAAGCCAGTGGTGTAACTAGAGCGATAAGTGGTAGGTGCACTAAAAATTGTTTGAATACACCACCAAAACAGTGATTTTTTTATAAACTGACTCACAAATAATTGAAAATAAAATCAAGCGAATAATTTTGTTCGATTGAAACATTCCGCGTAGTAGAAAGCCACAATGCAACCTGTCTATCGTGGTAAGGTATTAAAACTGTATTTATATTTTTAGTTTTTGTGATTAAAATTTTCACTTTCTCCTCGTAGATCGACGAATTCAACGTATCTCACGTGTTCACCGTTTTTATGCTGCGGCGATCTGATAAAAGAAAGGATCGTGTCGAAATATCGCCAGAACAACTATCTCATGCTTCAACACAAGCAGAAATATCCTTTTTCACGAGAATAATTAACAATTATACTATGAAGTGTATTGCATGCGGTTATCTCCACTTATCTCGACCAATCAGAGTGCAGCATAGCTAATGTACAGCGAGTAGTTCTAGCAAAAACTTTGGTTAATTAAAGGTCCGTTCACACGATCCAACTTTGTCGGATCCAATTCACTTTGGACATATGGAATGTAGCTTGTTATTAACAAAGTAGTGCTGCATTGGCTTTAGTTCATTTGTTTGTCATATACTGTATGTATATTGCAAGTCAACAGACTATGAAGCATCCATCAGAAGTGAATTGGATCCGACAAAATTGGATCGTTAAAAGACCTTAAAATCAAATAGTTTTCCACCTCTGGCTCATGTCAAAGTTAAGTAGTTAACTACATTAGTAAGCAAGCTAAAAATAACCAAGCTGCTTAAGCTGCCTAGTATTGAACAACGTGACAAGAATGGTAAAATACGATAATGATAGTACTTGTATTTACTCATTTATTAACAATTCTTCAACACTTCGCCAAGTTTCAATTCTTAACGATCAAGTACCAGTTAGGAATGCTAACGACCCGAAAGTGTCCCATGAGGATTCTAGGCTGGTATCATTCGCATCCCCACATAACCGTGTGGCCATCTCATGTTGGTAAGCAACAGATGCAAGTTGAAAATTTGTATCATGGTCATGCAACAAAGCTTCCCCCCCCCCTTGCCTTCCGTATCTGTGTGTGGGACGGGACTAGGTCGAGTTACATATCGAAATATCACCTTTTCGAATGTCTTGACCTAGCTAGTAGCTCAGTTGAAAGAGCATTGGGCTAGCAAACCAAAGGCCGCGGTCTCGATTGCCAATATGGTCAAGCTAATTTTTTAGACTACCCGGTTTTAGAGTAGCACCATTTTAATATTCATTTAAACACCCGAGTCATATGCGCTATCACTGCACTGGGGTTGCTCTGTTCAGATCAACTGTGCAACAAAGTACCGATAATTTCTTAAAGGGAAATTGTCTATTTCTTAAAATATCAAGAACAGTCAAAATATTTCACACACAAAGCCGTCCTTTCCTTGCAGACGTTCAGACTCAGGCCATGTACCAGATGATGGATCCAGGTTTTGTTGGTTTGATTTTCTCATGTTTTAACGATGATACTGCTTCGTCGGTGAGTACTATACATTTCAGCTGTGTCTCAAGTGGATTCGTCATCCTCAAATCGTCCTCCCAAATGATTTTTACTGTCATAAAACATGATAATGACAGATAATAACCGTGCAAATTTATATCAGTATTTGAAAGCAAAGAAACCTCGCACTCATAATACAACACCAACCACCATGGCTTGGAACGTTTATGATCCTTTTCAGACAATGCATGCAGAGACTATACCTTAGGTTCAGCACAAACTGCATGCCCCATGCACTTTCACAATTTTATAGGTAATTTATCAATTGGATTTACCAATGCAAAATTTTAACTCTGAACCATTGAACCGAACTGGAACGATACCTCCTCATTGTTTTTGTGTCACGCGTGTCTGGCTTCTTTGGCTTCACAAAAACAATGAAGAGGTATCGTTACAGTTTTTTATTACAATTCACTGCTCTGAACACAGGATCTTTGACAGTGTAAACCAGACCTGATGTTGATAAGCTGAAGTCTTTGTATGTATATGTTCCAATGCATTCGATTCGGTACATGAAAAATTTGACGTCTCTGAAACGGGACTAATTTCGGTTTTCTCTTTGTTTGTTTATATGCAGCGTGGTCAGATACAATTGACTTGTTTTCAGTCGCATGTAAACTCATCAATGGAGTAAGTAATATCTCTTAACATTATATTCCTTGTGTATGTCGAATTATTGCCAGGATAAGAATGTCATAAACTGTGATAGTGCATGGCTCAGGTAAATTAATAATGTGATGGTGCATCTTTAAGACACAAAATGGATTTAGATTGAATTCCGGAATATCATTCCAACCGTCCAAATCCAGTATCTCAGTTGAAAGAGCACTGGGCTAGCAAACCAAAGGTCGCGGGTTCCAATCCTACCGGGGTCGAGCTAACTTTTAAGCTGGTCTGGTAGAGTGGCATAATCGCATTAAGTTACATTTGGGGTATACGAGATTTACAGTACTCGTCAGCTGATCTCTAAATGGTAGCTGAATGCAACGTTACATGTTCCATCTAAAAAGCAAATTAAATTGAAAGATAAATTTGGGTATGATTTTGACATGTTTTCAGTGCAGGTCGTGGTCAGGTTTTGTGCTCGCACGAGCGTCGGCATGCAGTTGCAAATAGCCAACGCATATACGTCTACACCCTTCCCTGTGCTTAACTCGCTAATTTCAGTTTCCCCCTCTTACACCAATGTATTTCGATTATTTATTAGGTACAGGCGGGTCGAAGTTCCTGTGAGGATCGTCCCTAGTGAAACCATAAGCGACGCTTGTCTTGAAGCGTTGGAACAACTTCCTGATATATTAGGACAGGTATTATCAATCGCAAATCAGTTATAATGAATTTTACTGTATTTTATATTAAGAGAGAGCATACCTGTATAAATTCTTAGGTATGATATATAAACTTTATATATAATATGCTTCAAATCAAATGCCTCCAAAGCCTTTCCGAAGCCAGGGTAGACGTTTTAAATCCAACATCAGTATGGTGCTCCCCGGCTATTTTTTTTATGATTGTGGTTAATGGTTAATCTAGGAAGTACCGGAGAAATATTTTTATTACATTTTCAACGAACGCGAGGTGATGGATGTTTTCAAGTTGTATCAACATTTTAAGCTTCAACCAGTTGCCTCAACTTGAGAACAACCATGTTCCTTCGATACACCACATCATTGTTCAGTGTTGTTTTCATCAACCAGGAACAACCTGATCAATTTTTACGCGTAAAATATACCTCGATACAGAAGAACGTTTGGAACCGGACATAATTCTTGAAGGCGTGACACTGACAAACAACGAAGCGATAGCGGTTTTGGCTAATTTAGACAATAACAAAGCTTTTGGTCCGGATGAATCCCGGCACGATTATTAACGGAAACGTCATCGCTTCTTCGCTCTGCGCCCTCTTTAACAAATCCTTACGTTGTGGTGTACTTCCTGACGAATGGAAATTGCCGAATGTTGTACGTATAAACGCGGCGTCAAAACATCGAATATCACGTTTTCCATCAAATCAATCCTTATTAACACGGGTTTGTCCCACGAAAGTCCTGTGTAACACAGTTGATTGAAGTATTCGATCATATAGGTCGGAATTAGATAACGGTAAACAGATAGTTCTAAGTGACTTATTTCGACATGTCGAAGCCGTTCGATAAAGTTAGTCACACTAAGCTAATGCACCGACTACGTGAGTTCAGTTTTCAAGGTAACCTCCTTAACTGGTTTTCGTCATGCATATCTCAGCAATCGTTACCAACAGACAACTGTCGCTGGTGCAACATCACGACCACTTTCCGTGACATCTGGTGTGCCACAAGGCTCTATTCTCGGTTCCTTGCTGTCTTGCTGTTTCTTCTATATGAAAATCATCTCTCTGAAACCGTGAGCATCTCAAACATTGCAACCTTTGCGGACGATACGAAACCGCATCGTCGCTAGAGCAAGATCTGACAAACTTTCAAGAAAGCTTTAGCAATGTGAACCGTGAAAGTCTTACGAAAAAAGAAAGCTCAACAAAATAGATTTCCCTTACAAGCATAACTCTGTCCGAGAAAGACCTGATCACAAACGTGATTTGGGCGTGCGGACCACATCCAATCTAACATGGTCTAAATTTGTGCTCAAGCAACAACAATGTTAGGCTACATAAGAAGAATTACTCCAGACATTAAGCCTATGTCAGTTCGTCGCACCCTATATTTGGCTTTTGTACGCTCGAAACTATGCTACGCTTCTCAAGTCTGGGCTCCACAATCTGTGGAGAACATCAAACGTTTGGAACGAATACAACGACGCGCGAGCAAATTCATTCTACATCTGCCGTTTATGTCACCGCGGAATCACCCACACACAGAGACTATATAGATATGTTGGATCTACCAAATACACTACCAAAGGAACTGACATTAAAGAACGCGAGCTTTTGTAGTTTCGAGAACAAACTTTATAACTATTAAAAATCGGCGTTACATATTTATAATGCCGAAGATCCTAGAACGTGGAAGCCTATATGTTTGTCTTGCAACGTGTCTCGTAACCTGTCTCGTTCGAATTTTCAATGATCACTTTTTACTTTATTATAGGAGGAAGAAGAAGTATATCAAAAGACACTCAAGTAATAATCGAAAAAAATCATTATTGATGATGTAAAATTGCCCAAATTTCGCATGTTTCGAATTGTTCTGATCATAAACTCTATAGTTCATGTTTGGTGTTAGATACTCCGAAAGCACATTGTTTCTTGAAAAGTTTAGAAGTTTAAAATATGGAGAATTGAACCGTTAGTTTACATTACGCGACTTCCACCTATAATAAACAGTACTAAATCTTCAATCTCAAAACGTCATGATCGGCATTTCAGTTTATAACAAAATACTTGTCGGCATTTAGGTTTAACTCGTTGCAATTTTCTCTGTATTTAGCAAAGTCAAGCCGGAGAAAGCAACTAAGAAAAATGATCTTTTGACTATTGTACACAACGGTGCAGGTGAGTAAGTTCTGTTATAGCTAATCCATGCAGAGTAATTGACCTTTTGGATTATGGACTGCTTTTCTATTATATGAACATGAGTGTTGTATAGAGTTTTACGCCATGCACCGAGAAAAATCGTATTTAAACACACGTAAAAATACGATATCTTACGTGTAAAAATCAAAATTTTACATGCAAGCCAATAAAAAACCGCGTAGGAAGTATGTTTGACCAATCAAAGAATGTTTCTAGCTCAGAGTTTCCGTTCGTTTTATTTACCATACCATATTTATATACACGTTCAAGAGACTATAACTATATAAGCGCATTTTACTGAACATTGTTATTTTAAATGTGTGCCCTTCAATACATATTTGTTTTAGAGTTACTAAGAATTGTCGTTTGCTTATAATTTGTTCATGTAATAAACAGAATATTACGTGGTTGTTTATTAACTTTGCAAGGCTATATCCAACCTTGCAAGCCAGGCTTTTCTACCTACGCTCCACGGCCTACGCCGCATCTCCCGCATTTTACAACATCACGCAACCAATTTCTTAAAAATTTGGAAGATATGAAAACACTGAAAATTGACCGCGTTAAAACTTTTGAAAGAAAGATTCCATAACCATAAGTTACATTTACCTGTGCAAGTGGTACGTGCTTCCAATTTCCTTGATTAAATTATTGTCGTTATTGTAGTTTTCACGAAGTCACTGTGTCGTGTGATCGAAGTCATGTGTGGTCCACTAATGCAGACACTTGAAAACAGATTGGATAGAAATGAGAGGAAGACCAAAGAACTTTTGAGGGAGAAAGAGGAATTAGAGCGAAGACTTGAAGCTATAAAAAACGCCTGAATACGATATCAGTTGCACAATTATCCTATTTATGAAATAATAATTAACCAGCATTTAATGCTACACAGTCGCCGCCTCGTCATCGGTCGTAGATCGGCGATGGGCTACGATTCGCCCGTGTCGGTTTCATGAGAAAGACAAAACAATTTCCGCTCATTTATATCCGAAGACAGAGTCGTGAACGAATTAAAGCCTGGTTTCCATATGACGCCGACCTGTCGCCGACTCATTGTCTGTATAATCATCCAAGGAGAAAATGACTTCAGAAAGACAAAAGATTTCACTCATCAATAATCACCGACAGTAACACTTTGCCGACGTCGGCGTCATATGGAAAATGGTTTAAGGACGTTGGAAGTAGTTTTTGATTGCCTTTTCTAAGAATTCGTGACTGTCCGGTAGTTTTTACAGTTTTTAAATATTTTGTTTCACATACTTAACCCAATATTAGACACCAATTCAGAAATATTCAAGATGACAATCGTCAATAATGTTCAAATTGGTATATCAACCTACGCATGCTTCCAACGTCCTTCAAAAACCTAATGGATCACGAATAAAGAAACGTTTTGTACTGGCTATATGAATTTGTCATATTGTAATATTTAACGTGATACAACACATTACACCATAAACTCCTGGAGCAGTATATCAAATATCTCATAAAATGTGCTCGGCAACTGTCTAAAAGTAAACTAGGAGATGTCGTTCTTCGAAGAAGGTAAACAAGATGAACCTTTTTTGCTCGAGAAGTGAAAGCCAAGGTAAAGAAAGTGATGCATGTTGAGGCAATAAATTCGAGTATTTTTTTCATAGATCCATTCAAATCAATCCCGACATTCTTACATCTCAGATTAAAAAGTTAATATAAGAACACGGGTTAAAGCATTGCAGCAGAAAGTTTAGAAAAACGTGTAATTTACCACTCCCTCTGTTTACATTTTGCCAATTTCCGATTAGCGGAAAGACCAAAATGTAAAAAACGCGATCGTTGCATGGTCAACATTCCTCCCCCTTGTTCCTTATGTAGCTAGTATTTCCAGGCAGGCCAGCAAGGTTTTCGTTCTCGTGCATGGCGTGCATCTCTTGCGATAACGTTGACAAACATTCATTCATTCAAACTATTTACACACACAAAATCTTTTCAAGAATAAAGCTGGTTTTCAAAAGAGGTGTGCACTGCTTTAAAAAATGAAATCCAGCAAGCGTATTACAAAATGAAATAACAGCAAGCGTATTTCATCAAGGTGATTTGGTAGGCTATATAGCTATATTAAGCATAGCCATTTTGAATCCCCTTGTTTTTTGAGCTCTGCCATGTTTGGGAGTCTTTATTCCCGAACCTTTCCTCGATTCAATCCTTAGGATTTGGAATATTTGATACATTATTTTGCAATAATGCACTTCCATCTCGATTACGATGCAATCTTCGATAATTTAAGTGTGAGCTATTAATATTACTATTATCTAGAAACACTAAATCGTTTGAAATACAATGTGACTTTGACAGAATATTTGTCTGTTTTACCTTCTTTGCAAGTTCAGGGCCATCAGTTCTCTCTACCAAGGACGAGAAAACAACTGGCGTACCACCAGAATCTTTCTTGAATTGCTTTGCTAGGTCGGAGACTTTTAGCTGCTATATGCTTATAGGTTGACTCTTGCGTATGTCGTTGGTTCCGACAACGACTGTCGTTGGTTCCATGTACAATCAACTTATCCTGATAAGTTGGTTTCAGAAAATCGCTCATATCATCAACTCTCGCTCCCGAAAACGATTTAACCGATACATTTCGCTGACCAGTTTATAACTCCTAACCTTAGATATATTTTAACATCGAGTAATCTGCTACGACGACCGATGTTTTGGTTTTTGATTGTTGCTGTTCATCTTGCAGTATCGGTAGTTGTGCTTTGTCGTCTGATAAATTCCCATTTGATTCGTTCATACAAAGCTTATTCTTTCGTTTTTGATTTCCTCTTTCTTTTATCGCGGAGTTGCTCATATAGTTTATTGGTCTTCTTTAGTATGTTTAGTATGTTGATCAGGAAGAAAACTAAAGCGGTTACTGAGCGGTATTGTTGGAATTGTATTTTGGAAAAAAATATGCCGGATGCCGGCTCGATCCCGCTACCTCGCGCATGCAAAGCGCGCGCCCTTCCATTTGAGCTAATCCTTCACAGCCGCCGTAATGCATTGAAAACCATTGTTACAATGACACATATCTATTTTCGTTTTTTTTAACATTTGGTTTCCTAAACAAACTATTTGCCTAAACCGCAAAATAAAAGGGTTATTTTCAAAATTTTGCAGACACACCAAGCTAACCGGCAAAATATTTCAAATTAGTTCCTGCCGAAACCCGGGATTGAACCAGGGACTTTCAGATCTTCAGTCTGACGCTCTCCCACCTGAGCTATTTCGGCATACAGCACAGAACGACTATTCATATTCTTCAGGCGTTTTCGATCATCCACCTAGTTCCCTAGCTGCACACAACAACGGAGCATACAAAATGTCAGGTTATGATAAATATGGATACATATATTTAATAAATTTCTACTCCATTGCCAGTATGTCAATTTGACATAGGCAAGTAAAATATTTTTCAAAATATTTTCCATGCAACTATCTTTCGAACCGGTTTAACCAGTGACTTAGGGATGTTTGCTTATTTATCTACAGTCCCCCAATCTACTAACTGATCTATCGAAGGCTGATAACGGCCAGCTTCATTGTTGATCAATCAATATTTGTCATTTATAATACGAAAACTTCTAATGCAAAGCAACGGTTTTCTGAAGAATGATTTCAGATCCAAAGCGTAAAATTTTGGAGGATGCGGGCGTCGATCCCGCTACCTCGCGCATGCTAAGCGCGCGCTCTACCATTTTAGCTAATCCCTCAGCTGCTGCCGTTTCGTGCATCTTTTCGAGCAATTGGTAAAAGATAGATCACTCTTTACGAAATTAAAAATATAATTTCTGAGTTTGATTCGTGTAGCATGGGACCTAATTTATGGTGTTGAAATATGTTTCATACAGCGGAGTAACATGATTGCCGAAATTGACCGCTATATGTGGCGTGGCGCTGGTGGTTCAGTGGTAGAATTCTCGCCTGCCACGCGGGAGACCGGGGTTCGATTCCCCGCTAGCGCATAAAGTTCCACTCGGATGCATTGTCGTGATCAATAACACCCATCATGTGGTTTCTTTTTCACACTTACTGTGGCGTAGCAAAATTATCAAAAGAAAGGGGTAATTTAAAAAAAAACGACGCTGTTACGTTAGGCATCGCAAGTTCCCATGTGGTCTAGTGGCTAGGATCTGGCGTTTTCACCGCCATGGCCTGGGTTCGATTCCCGGCGTGGGAAATCCGTTTACATAAATACCCGGCAAAAGAGCCGTTTACGGCAGTACATTTAACACCTGAAGGACACAAACACTGACAAGGATTGGAAGAATCGGGTTTGTCGAAAAGGAAATTGATATTGAACGAATAAGGTTGAGTTGCGTTTTCCAGAATTTAATGTATTTTTAATTGATCATATAGGAAAAAAATATGAGGATGCGGGCATCGATTACCTCACGGATGCAAAGCGCGCGCTCTCTATTTGATCTAATCTCCCATAACCGCCGTAACGCATTGAAATCCATTTTTACAATGACACATATCTATTTTCGTTTTTTTAACCATTTGATTTCCTAAACAAACTATTTGCCTAAACCGCAAAATAAAAGGGTTGTTTTCAAAATTTTGCAGACACACCAAGCTAACCGGCAAAATATTTCAAATTAGTTCCTGCCGAAACCCGGGATTGAACCAGGGACCTTCATATCTTCAGTCTGACGCTCTCCCACCTGAGCTATTTCGGCATACAGCACAGAACGACTATTCATATTCTTCAGGCGTTTTCGATCATCCACCTAGTTCCCTAGCTGCACACAACAACGGAGCATACAAAATGTCAGGTTATGATAAATATGGATACATATATTTAATAAATTTCTACTCCATTGCCAGTATATCAATTTGACATAGGCAAGTAAAATATTTTTCAAAATATTTTCCATGCAACTATCCTTCGAACCGGTTTTGAACCAGTGATCTAGGGATGTTTGCTTAATTATCTACAGTCCCCCAATCTACTAACTGATCTATCGAAGGCTGATAACGGCCAGCTTCATTGTTGATCAATCAATATTTGTCATATTATAATACGAAAACTTTTAATGCAAAGCAACGGTTTTCTGAAGAATGATTTCAGATCCAAAGCGTAAAATTTTGGAGGATGCGGGCGTCGATCCCGCTACCTCGCGCACGCTAAGCGCGCGCTCGACCATTTGAGCTAATCCCCCAGTTGCTGCCGTTTCGTGCATCTTTTCGAGCAATCGGTAAAAGATAGATCACTCTTTACGAAATTAAAAATATAATTTCTGAGTTTGATTCGTGTAGCATGGGACCTAATTTATGGGTGTAATTTGAAAATATGTTTCATACAGCGGAGTAACATGATTGCCGAAATTGACCGCTATATGTGGCGTTGCGCTGGTGGTTCAGTGGTAGAATTCTCGCCTGCCACGCGGGAGACCGGGGTTCGATTCCCCGCTAGCGCATAAAGTTCCACTCGGATGCATTGTCGTGATCAATAACACCCATCATGTGGTTTCTTTTTCACACTTACTGTGGCGTAGCAAAATTATCAAAAGAAAGGGGTAATTTAAAAAAAAACGACGCTGTTACGTTAGGCATCGCAAGTTCCCATGTGGTCTAGTGGCTAGGATCTGGCGTTTTCACCGCCATGGCCTGGGTTCGATTCCCGGCGTGGGAAATCCGTTTACATAAATACCCGGCAAAAGAGCCGTTTACGGCAGTACATTTAACACCTGAATGAGTATTATTGCAGGACACAAACACTGACAAGGATTGGAAGAATCGGGTTTGTCGAAAAGGAAATTGATATTAGAACGAATAAGGTTGAGTTGCGTTTTCCAGAATTTAATGTATTTTTAATTGATCATATAGGAAAAAAATATGAGGATGCGGGCATCGATCCCGCTACCTCACGGATGCAAAGCGCGCCGGCGCTCTCTTATTTGATCTAATCTCCCATAACCGCCGTAACGCATTGAAATCCATTTTTACAATGACACATATCTATTTTCGTTTTTTTAACCATTTGATTTCCTAAACAAACTATTTGCCTAAACCGCAAAATAAAAGGGTTGTTTTCAAAATTTTGCAGACACACCAAGCTAACCGGCAAAATATTTCAAATTAGTTCCTGCCGAAACCCGGGATTGAACCAGGGACCTTCATATCTTCAGTCTGACGCTCTCCCACCTGAGCTATTTCGGCATACAGCACAGAACGACTATTCATATTCTTCAGGCGTTTTCGATCATCCACCTAGTTCCCTAGCTGCACACAACAACGGAGCATACAAAATGTCAGGTTATGATAAATATGGATACATATATTTAATAAATTTCTACTCCATTGCCAGTATATCAATTTGACATAGGCAAGTAAAATATTTTTCAAAATATTTTCCATGCAACTATCGTTCGAACCGGTTTTGAACCAGTGATCTAGGGATGTTTGCTTAATTATCTACAGTCCCCCAATCTACTAA